ATGGCCAAATTAAAAACAAAGCATGGGCGTGGCCTTCAAGTAGAACACATCAACCAATAGCAAGGCTGGAGTAAATTGGAGGCAGACAAAGACAGGACATGGTACAGGCAAAAAAACTAAAACAAAACATCATTACCATTAATGTTTCCATTATTACTGTTACTAATAATTTATTAAAAATAAAATAAATAATAATTTATTAATATTTATAGTTTGTATCATAATTTATATATATATATATATATATATATATATATATATATATATATATATATATATATATATATATATATATATATATATTATATTAGTGTTATTAATATTTTTATTTTTTATTTTTATTATTAATATTATTGCCATCATTATCAATAATAACTATAAAAACAAATAATATACATAGAGAACCTATCAGCCTACAGTGGTTGTAAATACAACATTAATAAAAGAACATTATTAAACCTTATATTATAAAAATTATTGTAAAAAACAAGACAGATCAAAATCCTCATTCAAACCTGGATGTTCACATGCTCTCAGTTTATGGATCCAGAAAGCTTCTCTTTGATTTCATTTCTGAAGTCTGTCTCCACCTCTTGCCAGTGGTTTCACATGTTCAATACCTTCAATACGAAGCAGAGTGTCATTGCTATTATGATTTTCACAAAAATGGCGAGCCATTGGGTAATCTTGATTTTTAACCCTAATCGCATATTTGTGCTCGGCTAAGCGATCTCTCATATGCCTTTTAGTGCGGCCAACATAGAAAAAACCTTCAAGACAAGGGCAAGACAGACGATATACCACATGAGTAGTATTACAATTAATGAAATAATTTTGTGTGAATGATCTACTATTGTGTACATCCATGAACGTTTTTGTTTGAAAGACATTTGGACAATGAGGACAACACTTAAATGTGCCCATGGGTTTTTGTAGCCATGTACTTTTGTTTTCTGGAGGAAGATAAGAATTCATTAATCTGTCTCGAAGATTTGGAGCGTGTTTAAAAGAAAATAAAGGAGGTTCAGGAAACACTTTGCTTAATACAGGGTCACTTAAAAGTATAGACCAATTGTCCCTAACAATCTTTTTGATTTGTTCAGCACTAGTACTATAAGTGGTGACAAACATAGGCCGAGATAGCTCTTTAGATCTAGCCGTATTGTTTTTAGTGAGTAAAGTGCCCCGATCAAGAGATCGAGCCCTGTCACAAGCCTTTCTGACCACTGTAGGCTGATAGGCCCCATCTAAGAACCGGTTAGACATAGCCTCTGCCTGCTCTACAAAATCCTCTTCCCGATTACAAATGCGACGTAGACGTTGGAATTGCCCAAAAGGGATGTTGCACTTAAGGTGTTGAGGATGAAATGAATTTGCTCTAAGGATAGTATTACGTGAGGTTTCTTTCCTATATAATGTAGTGTTCAAACAGTCCCCTTCCCCCTTAAATATGGTAAGATCTAAAAAGTTTATACTGTTTTGTGAATATTCCATTAATAATTTAATATTAGGGTTTATAGAGTTTAAATATTTGTACAATTCCAATAGTTCTTGTGAAGTACCATTAAACAACAACAAAATGTTGTCAATATAGCGACCATACCAAGTGATACAATGGAAAAATGGATTAACTGTATTAAGAACAAAATTCTTCTCCCGAAGACCCAAATATAAACAAGCATAGTTGGGTGAAAAACAAGAACCCATTGGAACCCCAATCTTTTGAATATGAAGCTCATCCATAAAAATAAAAATATTATTATGAATAACCCATTCTGTAAGCTTTAACAAAAAATCACAAGAAGATTTGGGGATGTCACTCTCAGTAAGAAAATATTTTAGAGCAGATAAACCCTCTTGATGTTCAGTATTAGTGTACAAACTTTCAACATCCATTGTCACAAGAAACTGGTCTTTAATGTTCAGCAAAGATCCAATCCTGTTCAGTACATCTGTAGTGTCCTCAATGAAAGATGGAAGTGTTCTTACCAAAGGTTTTATGTAGTAGTCAATATATTTGGTATCTGGCTCAGTGAGAGTGCCATTACCAGATATAATAGGACGTCCAGGGGGATTGTCCTTGGGCCTCTTGTGGACCTTAGGCAACAGATAGAAGGCTGCCAGAACCGGGTGTTCAACTGTTAAAAAAAAAATTCGTTGTCATTAATAATTCTCATGTTCCATGCTTCCTTTAAGAGTATAACAAATTGTTTTTTCATAACTGACAATGGATTGGTAAAGAGTCTTTCATAATATCTCGTGTTGAGCTGTGGATGAGCCTCCTGCACATATTTAGCTTTAGATAAGACTACTACACCCTTATCTGCTGGACGAATTATTATATCTGTGTTATCAGAAAGTTCATTTAGGGCTTTGCGCTCCTTGTGAGATAGATTATTCCTAGGAAGGAATGGATTACTCTGTATTAATTTGTTTCCCTCATAATCAATTTTCCTCGTAAAAGTAAGTAGTGTCGGATTAGATACAGTCGGTTGAAAATGTGTTGACATAATACCATTCCCCATAGAGGCAACAGACCCGTTAGACACAGCCTGGTTGTTGTTAGTATTATAATACCAAACCTTAAGATGTAAGTTCCTATAGAAGCGGAATAAGTCAACCTTAGTCTGAAATTCAGGAACACCATTGGTCGGGGCAAAAGTAAGGCCTTTAGATAACACTTTTGTATGCTCATTACTTAAATTGAAATCAGAAAGATTCATTATCGTGGATAATGTCTCTGAGTCGTGTGTCTCAGGCCGGTTCTTCTTCGCGTCACTGGTCGTCTTTCTTCGTCTGCCTCGCAGTGTTCTGCGTATACTATCCAGTCCTTGTCTTTTTGTGCCATCTAGTGGGCAAAAAAGGCAATAGCACAAAATTAAGGAGGTGCAGGCTGAGCTTGTGTATTGTTTAATGTTCTTAACCCTCTTCAGGCAGGCGTTGCAGATTTGCAACAGCTACATTCCAATTACCTACTTACTCCACATCCATATTTTATGAGCTTTTTTTACTCAGGAGCCTTTTCTCCCATCCATGCTGATAAACGTGGACGATGCAGACTGTGCAAGAATGTCTACACGCAAATGGCCTGCCAGAAGTGCAAAATACTTTTGTTGTTTACAAAGGATAAAAAAGTCAGGATTGTATATTACTACCCCATATTATAATTTTCCCCAAATATCAGTTTTTTCCTGATACTAAAAATTAATTTGAGCCTGAGAGGGTTCTTCTTTAATAGTTTACACAGTGTAACATTTATTTTACAAAATGTGCACAGGGAGATCGGTGCTGGACTGTTCTGGACTTTGTCCTGGTCAGTGATTGGCTGAAAGCACTTTAAATTCATTGACGGGGAAAATCAGTGAGAGGAGATCATTCTCATATGGACAACAGCGCTTTGACGTGTCAAATAAAATAATTTGACGCGTCAAATAATAGTTTTGTCTTACCATAGGTGAAGGTGGACACGCCGATCGCGTCCCCAGCCCCATGTAGGGCAAGAGTTTGGGAGTGTTAGATAAAAGTCCTTTTTGTTGCATACCTGGGGCTGGTGGTTGTTAATGGTCTTCCTGAAGTTAACCTGTTGTTCCCGGTGGAACAGATTACCACTGCTGCTAATATTCTATCTCTCTGTTCTTACTCCTAGTGTTAATTCTTATTTGATGAAGGTTGTGGGATAATAGCTGAGGTTTTGTTGGGATTTGGAGGGAAGTGTAATATACGACTGGATTTGCAGTGCAATGCAGGGTTAGGCCTCGGGGTTAGCACAAGTCACTTTAGCCCAGATAGGCCCCGTTAGCACAACACACTTGAACCATCTAGAACTCTGTGCACTTTAACTTAACGCCAAAGCCTACCTCATGTACCTTTGCACATGTACTTTAAATCAGTAGTGGTACTACAGTTATCTTCATGGAGAGCAGGTTACAGGTCGGACCTGTGGACTCCCATCTTCCCTTAAGAATGCATGTTTATGTCTTACCCATAAGGACAGGATTGTTGAATAAATGCAAGACAGATACATTTAAGCCATACTGTGGAACACTGCAACAGCTATCAAACAGTTACATAGTGCACCTTTAAGTATATGCTACTGGTGTAGAGTTCAGTCTTCTGCTTTCTGCCCAGATGTATCCTGAATCTGTTTTTTTCATATCAGTGTGAACAGCCCAAATCTGAATTTCTCCAATAGACTCAGACCACTTTCATATGTGGAAATACATCTGATTTGGACCTGACCTTGTGCTGTGTGAACATGCAAGTCATTTGTCTGACTTTTACTGCCCTGAAATACTACAGGTGCCACATTTTTTCAATGGAAAACGTATAGTTTTTAAAAGCAGAACATTGATCTCGGCGTCTCCTTGTGTTTTGTATTGTCTGTTGGTTTGGTGCCCTCTCTCTGTCTTGGAGAAATAATGGAGAGCCCTGAGCACTTTTGTGTGCACTGTTGAGCTAAGCTTAAGCTGTGGTTAAGTGTACTATTGAATTGTTGTGTGTCTGCTGTATGTGTGACACTGTTGCACACTGCTGGACAATAAGAAAGTTGAAAGTTGAATGTTGTGTTGTAGTAGCCAACAGAGGGCGCTCTAACACACTGCGGTGTATTACTGCTGTGTTTGAAGAATGCTGGGCACTGGGGAAGAAGGGAAGTAAAGAGAGAACTGAAGCTGATCCATGCCTCATGAATGCTCATTTTACTTTTAATGCTACGATACCACAGTAGCCTACTATTTTAAAGATACATTTTCAAAAGATTTTTTTCTATGAACATTCTCGGCTGGCTGGAATGGATGATGTATTATTACATAAGACTAAATACAGAAGCATAGAACTCCCTTCACTTGCTTTACCCCAAAAAAGAACCAGGTTTCATACAAAAAATACCTTTATTTGAAAAAAACAAAACAAAAAAACATTATGCAATTAAAGTTAGAACAACAATATATGACATATGCAAACATATAATGAGTATGGCTAAAGGCACACTCATAGTTGGATTAATATTCATGTTACATATTCTGTTATACATTTGCTAATAAAAGTCATATCTACTACAAGGATAACCATATGCTATTATGGTATAATGGTTATTACTTATGATTTGTCTGTCAAATCCAGAATAACTCTGTGTATTTTTTATACACAGGTATATCAGTCTGATCACCAGGGCTCTCAAGTCAGAACCAAACGTGACTGTCCAATAAAATTGTTTTTTGAAGTGATGCATTTGAAATTAAGATCATTGGTCAAATACAAATAAAATCACATTTCTCTCATGTCAGATGAACAGAGTTTAGTGCTCCACTCTTTGATTCTGCAAAAATCACAATCATTTTATTGTGTAATTAATTTTTTTTTTCTTTTCTTTTTTCCTAGTAAACAGAAGGTTCATGTTTGATACGATGAAGCACGCATGTCCCCAACTGGCTAATCCACCTGTCAATCTTACCCATCTGCACATCTGAGATTCACTGGTGACCAGACTCACGTCTTCATAAAGTATTGAAGAAGTGTGTATTCTGGATCGCAGGCAAAACACATAATGGTTACATTAATATGACACTGAAAACAAGATAAATCAGTCCTTTGATTAAAACAAGGTAAGTTAGGGCTGAATAACTAATCATAATTTAACCAAAAATGTATTTTGCATTATTAGAACTGTTAATTCACATACACACTACTGGGAATATACTTTCCAATAGTCTCTATACAGTCTATGAATAAAACCAGCTAACTCTAGAGTTTAGCCCATTACAACAGACTATACTGGTATATATTTGATGCAAAATCAACTTTCAGAGCTTTTAACTATGTTATAGTTGTTCCCTTCACCAGTTACTCACCTGAAGTTATGTCTGGAGTGATTCGTGCATGTTTGAGTCATCTTCAGTCACTTAGTTTAAAGACGCCCCGTTTTCACCTCCACTTGCAAACACCCACTTAATCGTTAATACACGCAGGATTTGGTAACATCAAATAATCGTTATGGCACAAATGAAAAAAAATCTGTAGCTCGCTAATCTGATGTTCAGCTTTCCACAGGACGCGGTGACAGCTGCACAGCTCTGTGTTTTCATCAAGTTTAGTGTGACATCTCCCATTGGGCATCACATTTTCTAATGCAGCAGTCAAACGTGTTTCTTTTATTAAGTTATTTTAGATGAATATTGTGATTGAAAATGTCCCATTTATAACATAATGATTCATGGGTGTCACAGATTATAACTACAGCAGACACAAGCACGTGTCTGCTTATCACAATTCTTGTAAGAGTGGAATGAGTTTGAAATGTCCAGCTGCAAAGATTCAGACAAATACATATATTTTAGACATTTAGAGCTGTTTACAATTGTATCCCATCACGTTGTAATATCTGAACACATCATTTTGACCAAAACATTTCAATTAGCGTAAGTGCTTTTGGGAACCAGCAGCATTGCAGCTTCACCGAGAGTCCAAATGTTGAACACTGACTGTTCTATAAATCATTACCCCCATTTAATTACTGAAAAAGTCTTTGGAAATGGCCTCCACAAAGTTGGGCGCGGACATGAGGATCCCGATGGTGCAGAGGATGGTGAAGATGGAGAAGGCCATGAGGCAGAGGCGATCGATCACACATGCCGCAAACTTCCACTCATTGCACACAGTCTCCTCTGCGTCGTGGTCCCGGAAGCGTTTGGCGATGTAGCGAACTTCATCGAGGATCTTACCCAGCTCCGGCTCCACGCTGCCCACAGGGTAGCTTTGAGTGGGGGGCAAGAGCAGCTCCTCCTCCCCTGGGCGCAGCAGCCTGGGGATGTCACAAAGTGCAAGATTTGAATGATTGTGAGTAGGGGCGGGCGCTAGTGTTGTCATGCTACAAATTTCAAACTTGATTTCAGTACTAAGGAACAGAGCTGGAAATCACAGGGTCCCTCACAATTCGATACAATTCAAGACTTACAATACAATAATATCAGAATACTCACGATATTATTGTATTACACGATATATCAATACAACAGCCCATGATAACACTACACCACTGTGCAAAGAAACGTTGAGACGTCTTTTTAGAGTCATTTTTGCATGTCCAATCTTAGACTACTGAAGGGGCAGACTGTGACACCAGATGACGCCTTTTTTCTATCGTCTTCCAGACGTCCAGTACTGATGTTCTCAGGACCTCCGAATGAGGGCCACTTCTAGTCCAGATGAGGTAATTTTTGGCGCAGTGGGTATATTCCTTAATTACATAATTTTCCCACACCTGTTTTAGACGTCCCCATGACTTCCAGTTCAAATGTTTAACTGCATACTGACGTCCAAGTGGGGTCATAGTTAGACGTGTGGACGTAATTTGCACATCATTAGTGTAGAATTGGTCTTGGACAGATGGACGCAATATAGACAGGACCTGCATAAGACATTTAATGTTTAGAGGGACTGTATCAACAAAGGTAGTCGATTTTTTACTGGTATTTTTGCATGCCTCTACTAAGGAATAGACACAATACTCAATACCGATACCATGATGATGATTAAAAAAACACTTTTGGACAACAGAATGTAATTTTCAATATGTACGTTCTTTTCTATTCCCATGTGGTCTTGTATCTGTGTTATCCCTCAGTGGTCCAGTAGGTTCATAGTGTCCATGTGTGTGTACTCTATGTACTCTGATACACATCAACATAATCGATACCTGCTCAAATCTAGTTTCGATAGTAGTTTTAATATCAATTAATATTTGATTTTCTATACTTTTGACAACCCTCGTGTACGGTATGGTGAATAAAATCCTGTCACACATTCTCAAGGTCCTTCATCACAGTTTTTATTTTTGTAGGGCTTCTTCAGGTTGCTCTGTGTGGTGTGTATCCTAGTGTCTCAGACCAGTACCATCAAACTGAAAATGGCTTCTGGTTCTGGAGTCTTCATTTCAAAAACAGCATCCAGATGACAAGCTCTCAAACCTTTTCTACTTTGAACCACTCCTAAACAAATGAGGGCTTACACCATCCTGCTTCCTCTGAGAACTCACACTTCACTGTGATTGGTTACATCTGTGGAGGAGTGAGTAGAAGCATGGACATATGTTTGTGTTGCGGTGCATTATACAGAGAAACCCTGAATCACATCAGAACCATCTACCATCATGTACAAGGACTACTCTAGTTGAAATATGGCAGTGTCAAGATCTCAAATGTATATGGCTGTACACTGTTCACTTCCCGTGCCTTGGGTTATTGCTGTGTACTACAAGTCTAATTTCCTGTGAATAGTTTGGGATGAATCCTAATGTAAATTTTTTTCTGAAAATATTCAAAATGTAGCTGTATAAACTCATCTGACCCACAACCACAGCACATCACTGACATCTGTCGAAGCTCTGCCGTTTAAAAAAGATGTTTCAGTCATGCTATTCAATTTGGAACAGCTGTCTGCAGTCCACTCCATGATGAACTAAAGTTAAAAATCAAATTACTTCATTTATCCTAGAGGAGCAATTTGAGCACATCAAGTAGTTAAAATTATATTTAGTTGAATATTTTAATATTTTATTATGCTGTTTTCAGCTAATATAGTATTTTCAAAAGAATAAAAGGTAACATGGAGATCTAAATATGTTATGTGTTTACAATAAATGCCCCATAGAAGTAAAATAGCTCTCTTAAACAGGAGCACTGCTCTTGTGTGATCCTGTGTCAGGTTCACTCTGTGCTGTTTACCCTCCCATGAAAATACATTCCACAGACACAGTACCAAGATGAAGTCATTTGTGTGCAACACATGGAGAGACACATGTTGGCTGCTCAAGCGCTCCGACACAAGATTTCAAACTGAGTGGAATGTTCAAGTCAGAGAGTCTCCATTAATTACTACAGCAGCCACCTACTTCAGAAATACCTGTTCCGTTCTTAGTGGAGATAAGACACTATTATTGTCAAACGTATCGAAAATCAAATATGAATCCTAAAATAAAAAATATGAATCCTAAAACTAGTATTGAAACTAGATACTCATTTGAGCAGGAACGGTGTGACTAAAAAGCCACAGTCACAGGAGAGAATAGCTGAATAGTTTCAGAATGAAATAAAAGCAAACAGACTAATATACGCCCACGGACCACTATGGAACCTACCTGGACCACTGAGGGATTATACACATACTGTATAACATTGCATAATAATCATGAGAAAGTACTACTAGTAGTGTTATTTAATGTTGAAAATAGCATTCTATAGTGTAAATAATTATTGTTTTTCATTATAATTGTAGTATCACAATCAGTATTGAGTATCAAGTCTATTCCTTAGTATCAAAATCAAGTTTGACATTTTATTTTAGTATGACAACACTAATAGCAATACCAGAATGTTGAGGGCAAATTAATTATTTATAGCTATAACACCAAAATAATAATATCCTAAAAACAATTCTTTGAGCAGTATTTCAAACGTTCAGCGCAAATGGATTGTCGTACCTTCCACACATGACCCCAGAGTCGGGGGAGGTGGCGGCTGTGGAGTGGGGGTTGCTGTCCAGGCCCCTGACACTCACGTAGAGCATGTTACTGGTGCTGTTCTGGGAGGCCGTGGACAGAGGGGGGGTCTCCATGCTGCTCAGTCTGGAGCGGACGCCTTTGTGTGGGCAGGCCGGGCGCACCTTGTCCTCCCCGGGACGCTTCATCCGGAGGAACCAGGCGCACCATTTTAACAGAAACACACGGGTCTGGAGAGGCACACAGAAGATCACAACATCAGCACAGACGTAGGCTAGACTTTATCAAAAGAAACTAAAGAATGTACGTAAGATTCTGACTGTATCCTAATATATGAGGTAAACACGTTCAAACCAAATCAAATTTTTACTGATAATTCTAATGCTGATTTATTCTTCATTACAAAAACACTGGACATGATGGACAAGTTGTTTATATTTGGTGTTTTGGTTCAAGATAATCCAATCACAAAGCAGAATGAGGCTCACAAGTGTTGGGTTGTCAGTTTTAATGTTGTAATCCAGTTGATTTAAAGACAAAATGTCTCTCTCTGATCTGAACAGTCACTCCCTAAACCCCAGCTCCTGCAGTTAGTCATGAGTCAGTGCTAGTGCAGCCTCTGCAGCTTAGAGAGGCAATTCTGGAGGTTCTGAGGTTTAACATGGCTCTCGCAGATTTATTTGTATAGTTCCCTGAACTGAGTTCTACACATCAATCTGTCATGACTCTCACTGAAAACATTTGGAACCAGTCATCAGAGCATTCAAACAAATACTTCATGCTGATTGGTGGGCACGTCACAACAGAGGAACAGGCCAGAAACTCAAACTTCAGTTAAATCCTTTAGTTAATTTGAGAGAAAAGCACATCTTTCCCTTCACAAATGCACAAAGCGCTTACCCTCTTCCACTGAAAGTGTATTTTCACTGAAATAGACTGAAATGGGTCTGTCGACATCACCATGTTTGTTTCAGTTTGTTCAGCACTGGCTTCTACCCAAACCACAGAGCTGCTCTGTGACTGGTCAGTCTCCAGGGCCTATCACATGCAAATGCTTCAGCTGCAGCTGAACAAGACGGATTCTCAAAAGTTTGTGAACTCCCAAAAATTGCTGGATGAGGCATGGTCTGTCCTTTACGTGCAGGTTAAGGCTGTAACTGTGAGCCATGCTATGTGCTACATTATACCTATAGAAATAATGCTATATTTTGTTTTTATTACAGTGTTACGACCCAGCTTGTTTGGGGTGAGGGAAGTAACAAAAAAATAATATGGAATAAATTAAATAATGTTTAATTAACAGGAATGTAAAGGTAAATTAACAAAAGACTAAAATATACAGAAAACAACCTAAACTAAGAAACAGAACAGAATAAACGGTGTTTTGTGCCACAAAAGGGGTCACGTAGGCTTACAAAAAACGAGTGGTAAAATTTAGGGACACACACTAAACCAAAACACAAGTTCCCCAAATTAAACCACATAAACCCACAAACTGAATCGAGTGACCAAATCAAAAAAGGCACAAAACAGAATGAGACTAAACGACATACACGAAACCAAAATGGCATACTGGCCACCAAGGCCAGCAGCCCCGAACAGGCAATCTCCTTAAATAGGGGGAGGTGGCTGCAGGTGAGGTGGGCGTCGACCTCCCCCACCAATCACAGACCAGGGCTCCTGCAGCAGGAATCAAGAGAACTTGGCAAAAATCACACAAACAAATTAAAACCAAGGCCTGGGGCCATAACATACAGAATAAATAAAACTGCCCTTCAGAGGTAGCAAGGTAGAGTACAATGTCAAGCTTTAATGTAGGGTGCCCTATGCACATTTTTGATGTACCTAATACTTCATACATTTGTTGCCTCTCTACAGTACTGACTGTGTTTGGTTCATCCAGTACAATAGCTGTTGTGATTTGACAGGCAGCTCTCACAGATCCTGCAGAGAAGCTGTGAAGACGGACTGGAGCTGTCAGAACGCCACTCACACCACTAAAGCGTCCTTGAGCAGCTGCAGCGTCAGAGGAGACCATTACTGTGAGTTATGTGGACTACACTGGCCTGAAATGTGAGACGGGCACAGCAAAACACATTTCAGTCTGTCTTCTGATGCATCCTTTTTATTGTTGCATAACTCAGATTAAAGGAACTGCATGAAGCCTGCACTTTTACAGTTTTAAAAAGACACTGTCCCAACTGAACCTGGGTTGCCAGTGCCTGAACCTGCAGACAGAGGACACAGACAAGTTTTTTCAGTATACAGAATACTGACTGAGAGGCTGCACTAGCACTGATTCATGATTGGATTGCAGATGCTGGGGTTTAGGTAGTGACCATTCAGATCAGAGAGAATCACTTTAGGCTACGGTAGACAATAATATACAGGAAACAGTATTATTAGATTATTAAAGCTTCATTTGAATGAAAACACAGGACTTCATAGAGGGTTGAACGAAGGATTGAGTTTAGATAATGATGCATCATAGAAACACAAGTCAAACATCATCAGACTCATGTAAACGTGCTGGTGCCTGTGCAGGAGCGGAGGCATGAGCCACACTTCTGTCCCTCATCAGGTGTCCGGGTTGAACCTAAAGGACCCTGAAGACCTACAGCGACTTGATCCACTGAGGCCAAACAGATCCTGTGATGATCCTCAGGCGCACGTCAGGCGCACCTCTAAGGCCTGGCTTAAAATGGCACTCCAGCCCGCTCCCGCTCCACCACACACTGGGCTCTTGAGTGGTGCACATATTCATACAGCAGGTTTTGGTGTGGTGTGTAACAATGGGTACTGGTGCCCCATTGGCCAGTAGGTAATAGCCTGATGGAGGGTACAGAGCTTGGGGGAAATTGGGCCTGTTTTGGAGCAGACTGGCATTGTTTACTGATCCTAGATAACCAACAGATAAGCAGATGAAGCAGGCAAAAAGGACAGTCTGTAATTCAAGTCCATTGCATGGTGGTTCTAGGTCTAGGTTTTCCGGGCTGTTAGGCGCTCTGGATTATAAAACGGACTATCTTAAAATAGACTTCAATATTTTCGGACTTTTTTCCACAAATAAACCGCACCGGACTTTAAAGGAAACCCAACAGTGTGATGGGTGAGTGGTTTTGTTTGTTTGTTCGTTCACGGTGACTCTGGGCTTTGTTCAGTTGTGGCGTGTAGGGAGGGTGCTGTCTGGGACCAACGGATTGTCGGCGTGTTCACAGTGACTCAGTTGTTGCAAGAAGTGGCACATTTGACTCGCTTTTTCGGTTCGTTCCTACGTTCCGTTCCTCGTCGGCGTGGAGTGATGAGTGTGTCTGCGGGTGTTTTTCGCTGTGCGGTCGCTGTCTGCTCTGTGTGTGTTTGCGGCTTTGTAGTTTACTGAAGTCGTGCTGGGACACCCGAGTGGATTCGTGTATAGGGCGCTCTGGATTGTGGGGTGTGCAGTTGTTTTTTGATGAGGTTGGAGGCTTAAGAGCGCACCCTATAGTCCGGAAAATACCATAGTTTGATGAGCATGTTGCATCCATCCATTGTGCCGCTGTGAGCCAGAGAGCCAAAACCCAGCTGAGGTCAGGAGCTCCTATGGCATGGGCGAAGATTTGAAATGATATTCCCGCTCGCATGGTGAATGATGTCACTGTGCTTTTTGGAAGGACAAATACTGCACTGACAACAGACAAGGAGAGGCCATGAGTCAGGCAATACAGGAAGATCAGCAGCTGAATGCATGCTTTTCTCACCACTCGAATAGACTAGGGTAGGTGAGTGAGTGGAAGGAAATGTAGGATTGTTTTTAATCACTGTAAAGCTCTTTGGGTTACAATTTTGTATGAAAAGCGCTTTATAAATAAAGTTTGATTGATTGATTGAATTTCAGGCTTCCCCCACGATCCTTCATAAAGCGGAGGAGCTGCAGGAAATGCATGAAGGTCTGAAAGTCTAAAGTCCCTCTTACGCAACTGTTGCTGTGGTCAGTGTTGGGGAGTAACAGATTACATGTACCGGAGTTACGTAATCAGAATACAAATTATGAGTAACTGTATTCAGTTACTGTTTCAGTGAGCGGTAATTGGATTACAGTTACTTTGTTGAAATGAATGAATTACACGGTGATATTTTCCTGTTTTCACATTTTGGGCTATATCCCCCTTTTTAAATTTTTTTTGGTAATTCCACTCATTGCCGGAAGCTAAACCAGGTCTAAACAAGAACTAAACCAGGACTAAAACCAGGTCTCAACTAGATCTAAACTAGATCTAAACCAGGACTAAAACCAGGTCTAAACTAGATCTAAACTAGATCTAAACCAGGACTAAAACCAGATATAAACTAGATCTAAACCAGGACTAAACCAGGACTAAAACCAGATATAAACTAGATCTAAACCAGGTCTAAACCAGGTCTAAACCAGGACTAAACCAGGACTAAACCAGGTCTAAACCAGGACTAAACAAGGACTAAACAAGGACTGAACCAGTACTGAACCAGGACTAAACCAGGTGTAAAACAGGACTAAACCAGGTCTAAACCAGGACTAAACCATGCTGCACGGACGTGTCGTCTCCTCTTCTATCAATAATATTTTTAATACGGTTAAGTAAAGTCTGGGCTTTTCATTGTCTTTTAGCAAACAAAACAAAACTTCTTATGTGAAGATTTCGTAGTCTTTGCTTCTCTACAGCAAATCAAGTAATCCAAAGTATTCAGATTACGTTGCGCAATTTCAGTAATTTAATGGATTATGTTACAAACTACATTTTGGGGTATGTAATCTGTAATCTGTAGAGGAATACATTTTAAAAGTCACCTTCCCAACACTGGCTGTGGTAGACATTATTGGGCTGTTTGGGTTTCATCACAAATATGCTCCTGTTTCCTGTGAATGCGTAATGAGATCTGAATGAATATGGATTTAAGGATTAGGTGATTTATATTTAAATGGCGTGAATGATTCAGCAGAACCTCTTGGCAGTGGATCAGTAAGAGCAGATGTTTTAACTGTGGCTCACACCTGACTCGAGGCACATTCTGGGGCAGGTTTTTCACTGTCACAGCCACTACAGAGTGACATGACACTCTCTGTTATAGTGCATTTGGAAAGGGCAACAGGATGAAACAGGGAAACATGACCATATTTTCCGGGCTATTAGGCGCTCTGGATTATAAAACGCACTGTCATTAAATGGTCTGTTTTCGAACTTTTTTCACAAATAAACCGCACTGAACTTTAAACAAAACACAACAGTGTGATGGGTGAGTGGTTTTGTTTGTTTGTGGTGTTCACGGTGACTCTGGGCTTTGTTCAGTTGTGGCGTGTAGGGAGGGTGCTGTCTGGGACCAACGGATTGTCGGCGTGTTTGCAGTGACTCAGTTGTTCAGGTGTGTCTAGAAGTGGCACATTGGACTTGCTTTTTTGGTTCATTCCTCCGTTCCTCGTCAGCGTGGAGTGATGAGTGTGTTTGTGGGTGTTTTTGGCTGTGTGCTGGGACACCCGAGTGGATTTGTGTACAGGGCGCTCTGGATTATGGTCGTTTTTTGATGCGGTTAGTGGCTTAAGAGCGCGACCTATAGCTCGGAAAATACGGTATATTCACTCAGAGCCTGTGTGACAATGAATGATTCACAAAAGGACGATCTTTCCAGATGAGCAGATTGTCACAGAGTGGAGATCACGATTAGATTTAAATACTCCTTATGGCTTAGTCCAGATGAGCAAACGCAGAAGCTGCACTCACCCACTTGGGCATCTTGCTTCCGTTGGGATCGTGGTGGTGATACTGTAGGACCAGGACGGTGGCAATCACTGACAGACCCACGATCACCATAGTCGTGGCAAAGTACTGAGCTGAAACAAAAAGATATACACAGATACATGGTAAAGTGGACAAAGAAACAACAAAAAACACCTTATTCTGACCCTCTTGAAGATATATTATTATTTGTTTCTAGTAATCTTCCATTTTGTAACTCAAATAATAGATGTGATGTCATGTGATGTGTCCATTCCTGCATGCAGCCGATAATTGAGTTTTTGAAGAGTGGAACAGTGGAAGTGTTTGTGTCCTTTGCTGGCAACAGTTAGAGATAACAAAGCAAAAGAAGACCATTCATTCATTAATTTCTCTGACAATGACAATCAAATCTTGAATTCTTTGCTGAGAAGGGTCTGAGCACTAAAATGATTACTCACGGATTAGCTGTTGACGTGATAAAAAGCTTACACTACCAGTCAAAAGTTTAAACACTTTTTTTCACTGAATGTATTTTCTTTTTTCATTATTATTTATATTGTAGATTCTCACTGAAGACATCGAAACTATGAATGAGCAAAAGAGGAGTGTAGTAAAGACAAAAGACTGAAATAACTCAACTTCAAAATAGTCTTTACCATTTGCTTTGGTCATTGCTTTGCACTCTCTTTGCCTTCCACTAATAAACCCTGACGTGGCCCTGCTGAGAAGTGAAAACCACCTCCAGGAGATCTCATCATGAAAGCCAAGGGCTTGCAGAGCTATCGACAAAGCAAAGGGTGGCTACTCTGATGAATTTTAAACATCTTAAGGTTTTTTAACATGTTCTTTCTTTGCTACATTATTGTGTACATCTTGCCTCATATATTTGATATCTTCAGTCTATATCTGCCTGATTCATCAGCCGGTTTCACTTCGTAGAAACTGTCATTTTATCAATAGCTGCTATTTTGTCTAACTGGTATATTAAGCTTTTCCCAAATCCTGTAGGCAGAAGGACAATTACGTCTTTCCCCTTGACAAAATTCACCAAACATTCTCTTTGTTCCAGCTTTAAATCCTCGATCTTGGGAACAGTTGCCAACACAGAATGTCTGGCTCTTCGCTGATTGGCTGGTGCCTGAACTTGTACTTCCAAAGTTTTTGCAAACCATCTAGTGTATTCTGATTCCTGACCTAGTCGCTGGAGAGAAATTAAATTGAGTGGAGGCACTAGGTGGTGCCAGCCTGGTTATGTAGCTGCAATGTAACAAAGAAAAACCTGTGGATGTAAATGTCTGAACAATATTTCTAGACTCATCACTGATGTAGTAATATCACAGTAAAGTAGGGCTGTAGCGGTTAGGGAATTTCTCCTGCGGTGTGGACTAGCGGCTCAACAGTGCAGTATGCGGTGATACCGCACCCCCACCTTGGTTGTCGCGAGGATATAGCGTATGCTTCCAAAGGGGAGAAGTAATATTTGGCTATGGAAGGTAAGTGCCGCTGCCAACTCTCCAGCTCTCACTGTGGTTGGGTCAGAGTCCTGCACCAGGTCGGGTACCCGTGGACTTGAGAGAGAGAGAACCCTGAGCACGTGGAGCAGGGTGTCCGCAAAGTGTGATCGGGCGACATCTGCACTTTACCTCCATTAAAGTATTCAAACCAACACATGCATCATTACAAACTCATGTAACGTATGTATTTCTGTACATGTCATATGCTTGTGTAGACAACCTGCGGGGAGCCCTCTGCACACCCACTTATGGAACCACTGTTTTAGATGAAGGAAAAACATGACTTTAATGCTCATGTACTTTGTGTAAAAGTATACGACAAGCGTTTTTGAGTTTGGGGTTGTACTCTCTGAGCTTACCTATGAGAGGCACGGAGTCTGAAGTGGCCGGCATGATCTCTGCCACCAGCAGCATGAACACAGTGAGGGACAGCAGCACCGTGATGCCTGCGGAGACACAGAGAAAGAGCCTTACATGACTGACATTTCACCAGTGACGGAAGGTAACGAAGTACAAGTAGTAAAGTACTGTACTTAAGTCGAATTTTTAGGTATCTGCACTTATGTAAGTACATTTTACAGTGGATACTTTTCTACTTTAACTGTATTTGAGAGCAGGCATTTGTACTTTCTACTCCACTACATTTTAGAACAGCAGTAGAATTAAAAGATACAATATGTCACCTGCCATGGAAATGTCAATCCAAATTCATACATTTAACATGGAGATAGAAGTTTTATATGGTACACTGTGGAATGTTATAGACTAAGAAACAATATTTCCATGGTGCAATACAACCATCCATTAAAAAGGCTTTAAAGGTGCATTGTGTAACTTTTCTAGTAGAGGGTCCATCAAATGCTTTTCTCCATGGTTTCACAGCATGGCATTAAACCTGTCTGTCTGTCCATCTATCCATCCATCTATGCATCCATCCATCTATCTATATCTATCTCCATCTGTCCGTCCATCTATCTATACATCCATCCATCTATCTATACATCCATCTATCTAGACATCCATCTATCTAGACATCCATCTATCTAGACATCCATCTATCTATACATCCATCTAGCCATCCATCTATATCCATCCATCTATCCATCCGTCCATCCATCTATATCTATCATCCCTCCGTCCATATTTATATCTATCTCCGTTCGTCTATCTATCTATCTATCTATCTATCTATCTATCTATCTATCTATCTATCTATCCATCCATCTATATCCATCTATCCATCTATATCCATCTATCCAGTGTTGGGAAGGTTACTTTTAAAATGTAATCCCCTACAGATTACAGATTACACACCCCAAAATGTAGTTTGTAACGTAATCCAATAAATTACTTAAAGTGAGTAACGTAATCTGATTACTTTGGATTACTTGATATTGTCATGTTTTTTTAAATGACATGAATGTAGCAACCACATCCTCAAAATTCATGTTGTCTTCAAATTGTCTGAGCCCAAGTCTCCATGAATAAGCAACTGTTTGCTGTAGAGAAACAAAGACCACGAGATCTTAATATAAGAGGTTTTGTCTGTTAAAAGACAGTAACAAGATCAGCCTTTCCTTCACCATATTAAAAAATATTATTGATAGAGAAATAATTTTTTATATGAGATCACCTTAAATTATGTCAACCTACTGTTAGGTGTCATGTTGTTTAGACCTGGTTTAGTCCTGGTTTAGTCCGGATTTTTAGACCTGGTTTACTCCTGATTTTAGACCTGGTTTAGACCAGGTCTAGACCAGGTCTTTAGTTCTGGTTTAGTCGTGGTTTAGTCCTAGTTTAAACCTGGTTCAGTCCTGCTTTAGTCCTGATTTAGTCCTGGTTTAGTCCTGGTTTAGTCCTGGTGTTAGTTCTGGTTTAGAGGCGCACAGGAGGAAGCTCGGTTTACGTGAGAAAACACAGTCCACACGCGACGGCGGTGTCCGCGCAGTAACTACGGAAGGAGACGTGGTCTGCGGGTTCTCAGGTTGATGACGATGATGAAGGTGTGTGTGTGTTTGTGTGTGTTTGTGTGTGTGTGTTTGTGTGCGCGTCCCTTCATGTGGCAGGTCACTATAGGACAGTAGTGCAGATATTATGAGTCTATGCAGGTTGTTTTCACCGGTGCCAGTAGCTCCTGTTTCACATTTAAGTTGTAGGCGATTTTATATTTGTTTTTGTTTTTTTATATATATATATCTCACATCGGGAGAAGAATTTCCAAGACACAAATGCGTTTTTACCAATGCACTGCTGCTTCCACTGTGTGACTGACACCGCCAACTTTAACATGACGTTTCCATCGCTCTTACTGTCGCGTTCTGTTTGGGCTTCAGGCAATGAGTGAAATTACCGAAATAAAAAAAATTAATAAATGGGATGTAGCACAAAATGTGAAAACAGGAAAATACCGCCTTGTAATCCACTTATTTCAGCAAAGTAACTGTAATCCAATTACCACTCATTGAAACAGTAACTGTAACGGAATACAGTTACTCATAATTTGTACTCTGATTACGTAACGGCGGTACATGTAATCTGTTACTCCCCAACACTGCATCTATCCATCCGTCCATCCATCTATATCTATCCATCTATCTATCCGTCCATCCATTTATATCTATCTCCGTCAGTCTGTCCGTCTATCTATCTATCCATCCATCTATATCCATCTATCCATCCATCCATCTATATTCATCCATCTATCTATCCGTCCATCCATCTATATCTATCATCCCTCCATCCATTTATATCTATCTCCATCAGTCTGTCCATCTATCTATCTATCTATCTATCTATCTATCTATCTATCTATCTATCTATCTATATCCATCTATCCATCTGTCTATCCATCCATCTATATCCATCTATCATCCATCCATCATCTATATCTATCCATCCATCTATTTCCATCCATCCATCCATCTATATCTATCCATCTATCCATCCGTCCATCCATCTATATCCATCTATGCATCCATCCATCTATATCCATCTATATCATCCATCCATCCATCCATCCATCTATATCCATCTATCATCCATCCATCATTTATATCTATCCATCTATCCATTTATATCTATCCATCCATCTATATCTATCCATCAATCCATCCGTCCATATATCTATCCATCATTAATGTCACATTGTGGAACATTCCAAGCAGAGCAATAATATATCCATAGAAACAAGTGAGTGACAAACCCCCAGTCGAAAAATGACATAGTGCACCCTACAGAAGTGAACCAAGATATTTCTGTCATTCTGTTTACTAGTTAAGGAGGATTAAACACCTCAGAGCAGTGTTACTCTGTGTTTAAGGCACTGGTGAAGTTCAAACTGTGTAACGCACAAATCTGAGATGTTTAATCCACTCATACCATGGTCTCACCAACTGAAAATAGTTCACTTTTGAATCTAACTGCCTTTTAGAAGCTCATCAGTTATTGTTTGTGTTTTAGCTGAAGCTGGTCCCTCTTAACAATCCACAAATGCACTTCAATTTTATCATTTCCTTAGCTCGAAAAAGACCATGAAGCAGCACTTGAGTCTGTAGAATGGACTGAATCACGTTGAACAGCGGACCGCGAGAAGTGTGGCTGCGTCTCTTAAATCTTAAATTCAGCTGCGGTGGGACTTCATTACCCAAACTGCCCCTCTCTGCAGACGCCATGTTTTCTTCCAGGACATCTGACATAAGGCATTTACCGACTTGCGCCCAGAGCTATAATACTCCTCTTGTCTTTATAGCGCACTCAGTCTTTGCATCATTTCACATTTTCTTTGTTCACGTTGCTGTCATGTTGTAGTTTATATTTATTCAGAAAAGTATTTATAGATGTAATTTGTGTTTTCGTAAAGCACCACCAGAATTATTTACACTTAAAGTCATGGAGGTTTAATCATCCCTCACATGTAAGGATGAAGTATTATTTACTGGTACTTTCATCACGTCACATCATGCTGGGGGGATTCTATATGTATGTATGTGGTGGGATGTTCATCAGTTACCATCATGGTGACGCAAAGAACACAGTAGCAAACCAGAGATGTCCTGATCACATTTTTTTGCCCCTGAGTCCGAGTCTGAGTCATTTGATTTTGAGCATCTGCCGATACTGAGTCCCGATCCGATACTTCTATAAAAATTATGAAATGAACTAAGAGCAAAAAATAAGATCCAGGACACGTGTGGAGATTAGACTGTACTGATTTCATGTTTAGTATTTAACTGAACTTGTGAAAAATCAAATGTCCAAAACTTAAATTTTATTAACTTTTCTAACCATGAACCATCATCGTTGAAAATCAAATCAAATCAAAAACAGTTTGTATATTTGATATTATATGGAAGTTTGTGCATTATATTTGAAACATTTAGGCTTGTCTATGATTTCCAAATAATAGAAAATCTTACCAAATAAAAACGGGATGACAGAAGCCCCACAGCCTCTCTCCCCCAGCTGCCCCCACTCTCCCGCACCGCCACCACATCCACAAATCCACTGCGGAGCCCACTGCAATACCGGTCCCACCGCTCAACAGACACTTCATGCAGCTGGACGGACCCTCTCCGCCAAAAGCGCCAACTCCGCTGCACAACATGCAAACAAACAGCGCTGTGCGACGATCGCCATTGGAGTCATCACAGGTGTGAACACGGCACGGCCCAAAAGTCCGAGCGTAAGTGCTCCTCTAGTACAGCAGGCGCTGGGACAGACAGTTGCGCTAACTGGACGTCCCTGAGCAAATCCTGAACCTCAGTACCACAGTAAAAAAAAAAAAAAAACTGTTGTGTGCTGTGTATAGTATATATAAATATATGTATATTATTTATCCGATACCTGATCGGACCTTAACGGCTGAGCCCGGATCAACTCCGCAGTCACGTGATCAGCGGCGATTTCCGATCACGTGACTGGATCAGGACAACCCTATAGCAAACACTGCCAAATGAGTTTTAAAATAGTCTGCGAACTCAAGGAAAAAAAAAAAAAGACAAAATTGATTGAAACGGCATATTTTCAGGAGCCTGTGATCAGGTCCTGTTTAGGAGTTTGATTTGAACAAAAATTGTGAGAGTGACTTGTTATTTGAAAGAAACTTGTTTAACACCCCAAATCAGCTCTCCCATTGTAGTTCCAGCTAAGTCAGTTCCTTCTGGTCAGGTTGTGTTCAAACAAAGCTCAGATTAAATTTGAGATTAAAGTTGAGTTTAACAGACCTTCACACAGAGCAGTGCCTACAGTTAGTTACTGTAAACGTTACAGTTTAAAATATATTTTTTCAGACAAATTATGGACCAGTGTAGGAAGATTCCTGCCCTAGTGCCTACCCAGTGAGATCTTCTCCCCAGAGTCGGCGGGCAGCAGGAACACGAGCAGGGCCAGGGTGGAGATGAGGATGCAGGGGATGAGCAGGTTGAGTCCGTAGTAGAGCGTACGTCTCCTCATCACCACAGTGTAGGTGATGTCTGGGTATGGCTCCTCACAGCACGGGTACTTCTTATCTGTCTTCTCCCCCGGGACCTCTGCGAACACAAGAGAGAAGCGAGGGCAGGGTGAGAGTCCTCGTAAACTACTGGAAATGTTTGTATTCTATATTTTATTTTAAAGGTCCTATATTTTGCAAAAGTGCCTATTCTGAGCTTTTAGTCTCTTCAAAAACATACCTGGAGTAGCCTTTTGTTTCATTCACACACGTTCATCATTAGTCTATCTGCATCTCCATCCAAAGCTCCAAATGCTCCACCTTGTGATTCATGAAGTGGTAATTTTCTTTGTTCAACAGAGATAAGCAATTCCAGGGCTGAAATGATCCAAATGATTCTACCGAAGGTGTATGAAGTTTAAAAACACAGTGGAGCACCTGCATTACCACATGACATCACAAGGTGGAGCGTCTTCTGTCTGAGAGAAGAACTCAGTCTAAATCTTCAGGGTTTGAGCGTTAAAGAAAACACAACTCCAGATCTGTTTGTGATGATGAAACAACATTATAACAGATCAGAAATAGTGTAACACAGTCCCATTAATGCATTGCCAAGTACTGAAAACACACCGAGTTCCCACGGTCATGGAAATCCTGGAAAAGTCATAGATATTGAAAATGCCATTTTCCAAGACTGGAAAAGTCATGGAATTATGTGAATTCAGTGAAAGTTTTGGAAAAGTCAACGTTACAGGTCAGATCTATGGAGAGGCGACCATAGTCATTGAGAGAATTATTGTATTTTTGAGGAATAGAATCACCAGGAATGAACAGGGATGTAACAATAACTAAAATATCGTGATATCGTATCATCAAAAGTCTAATATTGCTGTCACAATATATTGAATTACAAGTTCCTTTGCTTAAATTCATGGTTTTATAGTAGCAACAGCTTATGAACATAGGGAACTACATATCCCATGATTCATTTCAGTGCAAACATGAAGAAATATGTTTTTTACTGGAATTCTTGGGATTATGATGAAAATTTCACGCCAAAATCGTGTCAAGGTATTTTAAAAGCAGAAATGTGTCCCATCTACAATTACATAATTACATCTCCAAAATATTGCAATAAATATCGTACCGTGAGATGCATATCGTGATAATATCGTACCAAGAGATTTGAATATCATTACATAATGAACTAATGCTAGATAGAGTTTTTAATCTCACATCATCGAACATTCCAGGCAAAACAATAACATCTCCATGGAGACAAGCAGGTGACAGACAAATTACACAGTGCACCTTTAACAAAAGCTTCATTTAGTGAATTCAATGAAAGTTTTGGAAAAGTCTTGGAATCTCTTTCACACAATTACAGTGTTCTGTTAAGTTCTCATGAGGCTGTTCTGATTATTTCTGAACGTCTGCGCCTTTTGTTTCAAAGAGACGACAATAAATGCACTGACAGGATTTTGAATGTTAAAAAACTATAATCCCAAACCATATGGTGAGAGGAAAGGGTTAACACAGGGATCTCCAACCTGCACCTCGGGAGACACCAGCAGCTGTCCAACCTCTTCCCAGTAGCTCGCCAAGAAATGTCTGAATTTTATGCATTGTGTTGAAGAACGACATTTTGGTTAATTAAATGGCTATTACCATTGAAAATGTTGATGCCTAACTTTGTGCAATAATAAATGGTTTAAGTTTTATAAGTATCTAACTATACCCATCTAAGGCCACGGCTCTTTTATATACTCCACTAAAATAAGTAGCTCTCTGGTGTTTTTGTTTTGTAAATGTAGCTCACTGGACAAAAAAGGTTGGAGACCCCTGGGTTAACATTTCATATTTAGCCCTAAACGTATGCTCAATTCTACACATGTAGGTGCTGTAAAGCAGTGTTTCCCAAAGACTGGGTCGCAACCCTCAGGTGGGTCACAAGAGATTTTTTGTTTGGGTCACCTTGTCATGATCTGCATGTAGGTCTGTGAGAAACAGTTCTGACACATGTTGAAATGTTAAGACATATATTGTATAATTAGTGCTGTCATGCGATTAAAAAAATTGAGAGATTAATTAATTATGATCTGTAATTAATTAATCTAATTAATCTCATTTTAATCTCACCTAAAAATTGCTGAGAAAAGCCTTCAATTTGAGGTATTTTCATTTAAATTCATTATTACATTATTGTGGCCGATCAAAAGACTGATATAGATTTAAAAAAGTGACTTTATAAAGTCATTTATTGTTTAACAAATCTCTCCAATTTGGCTGTTGAGCCTAAGTCTCCATGAATAAGAAACTGTTTGCTGTAAAGTAGCAAAGACGAGGAAATCTGAACATAATAACTTTTGTCTACTTAAAAACAATAAAAAGTCCAGTCTTTCCTTAACCATATTAAAAATATTATTGATAGAGAAATGCTTTATATATGAAATCACTGATTTTAGTCCTGGTTTAGACCTGGTTTAGACCTGCTTTAGTCCTAGTTTAGTCCTGGAATGGATTAATCCTGGTTTTAGTCCTGGTTTAGTCCTGGTTTAGACCTGGTTTAGACCTAGTTTAGTCCTGGTGTTAGTTCTGGTTTAGTCCTGGTTTAGTCCTGGTTTAATCCTGGTTTAGACCTGGTTTAGTCCTGGTTTAGTCCTGGTTTTAGTTCTGGTTTTAGTTCTGGTTTAGTCCTGGTTTAGTCCTGGTTTTAGTTCTGGATTTAGTCCTGGTTTAGTCCTGGTTTAAGTTCGCGTACGCGAGAAAACACGATCCACACGCGGCTCACGGGAGCACGTCGATGTCCGCGCAGTGTCTACGGAAGGAAACGTGGTCCGCGCGTTCTCAGGTTGATGACGATGATGAAGGTGTGTGTTTGTTTGTGTGTGTTTGTGTTTGTGTGTGTTTGTGTGCGTGTCCCCTCATGTGGCAGGTCACTATAGGACAGTAGTGCAGACATCATGAGCCTATGTAGGTTGTTTTCAGGCGATATTATATTTGTTATTTTCTTTTATATTTCACGTCGGGAGAATAATTTCCAAGACACGAATGTGTTTTTACCTGTGCACTGCTGACTCTGTTCTACTGGCTCTACGACCTCGTCCATTGTGCCAACGCTGCCAACGTTAACATGACGTTTACTTACGCTGTTACTGCGCGCGTTTTGTGTGAGTTTCCGGCAATGAGTGGAATTACCGAAATAAAAAAATGTATAAATGTGTTTTGTGTGTGTGCGTGTGTGTGTGTTGTTTCCCAACAACACATAAAAACAGGTTTTATAATAAAGAAACTCACATACAGAAACACTAAAGTTAGAGATTAAAAATGAGATTAACGCGATTAAAAAACATAATGCGCTAAATATGACTGTAATTAATTAATCGCAATTAACGCGATAATTTGACACCCCTATGTATAATTTCTAATCTTTTTGTAATTATTTTATTGACTATCTTGTTCCAGTATTGTTGGCTCAATGAAATGTTGAAAAGAAAAAGAAATGGGCTACAAATGTGTCCAAATAGGCAATTTATTGATCCTTTTATTGCTGGTTCAATCACTCAACCATCAATAAAATAACCTCATTAATGTTCAATAATGGTCAAATCCACCTTTATTTTGTGATTCATGAATAATGTCTATTGACTTGGGTTGCAAAGGTTTGTGACTTTTAAAATATGGGTCTTCAGAAAAAAAGTCTGGGAAACACTGCTGCAAAGTCATGGAAAATTCACTTTAGGTCATTGAAAAAGTCATGGAAACATTCTGAAATTTTGCCAGTGAAAAGGACTGGGAGCCCTGAACACTGCAGCGTGAGACTTTTCCTCTTTATTTAATCAGGAAAGTACTGCTGAGATTTAGAATCCCACTTGATGCTAAATATATAATCCTCATAAAACCTAAATACTTGTTAAAGCTCCCATCTGGAGGTGGATTTGATTTTAAGTACAACAGAAGAGTGTATGAGCACATCACCGGTGCTATATACTCAAAATGTTGCCACTTTATTATTTTATTTAAAGGGCCCATCTCATGCAAAATCAACTTTTCAGAGCTTTCTACCTTCTAAGAGTGATGTGTGGGCCTTGTATATGTTGCCCAAGTGTTTTTTAGATTGACTGGGCATTTTTTAAACAAATTGCAGCAACTCCACCCCACATCAGCTGACAATTCCCACATGAACACCTAAACAAAAGTGACAGCATAAGCTCACTGTTCTCCACTGAAATGTTCACGATATAATAAGTTTATCTGTCAGTAATGTTCAGCTGATGTGGACGTGGTGCTTGAGCTTCATGCACCTCAAAGTCCTCGTCCGATTTCCGGGTCCAACACATGCGGCTGAACGCGCTGTATCTCCATGATGAATAAAAGTTTATTCCTTCCACTATCAAGGTGCACGTCTGTCTCCCCCTCCCTCCCTGAAATGGGCGGAGGAAGGGCGGCTCACTCAGAGTCTACGTCATGTTTGGAGGGCGGAGCCTGTGCTTTCTCAGGACAGGCGGGGGGAGGAGCAATAGTCGGCCTTTCATAGTTCCTGGTCTGTGACTGCCTCCAAGAAATCTGGAAGATTTCATAACTATTGTGTAATGGATGTTCCAAAACCCAAATTGTGCTTGTAAATGTGCAGAAGATACAATATGAAAAGAGTTATTTTGCAGGAGATGGGCTCTTTAAGTGTGCGGGTTTTGTCTTGTTTTCTAGCTTTATAAAGTATTCTTCACTAATCAGTCATTTATTCTTGACAAGTGGTCTTAATTACAGCGTTATGAGCTTTGGTGATTATGTTTGAAATAGGAGATGTTTTCCACAGGGCATTATGAAATATAAACACTTGAAAAAAAGACAGTAACAAAAATCAGATTGAAGTGGCCAGAGGCTAAGTGAGGACATGTTCCAGGCAGTGTGTGCCAGCAGCCTCTCCAACCACCACCACTCACTCACACATTACACTTACACTGTCACAGAGGAACCTACTTTGTCTTTGTATTTGTACACTTTCCCCAAGTAAAATTTGATCACAGCATTTTAGGCCGTCCATCAGCCAGTGCTTGAGGGCACTCACAGCAGAGCCTGGGACCAGCTCCAGAACATGAGCTAAGACCACGCTCACACTGACCCCTACTGTGACCCCTTCTGTCAGTGAAAGCACCAACAGCCTGTCTGAGAGTCTAAACCTGGTCAGCAAGATATATACTCGCAATATTTGAAGACTCCATCTGGGCTTGGCTCCCACCGATGTGACCGCTCCGGGACAAAGGTGCTTCTGTCCATCTCAAATGAATCAAAACAAACAGGGTCAAGTAGCTATTTCAGAGCAAATACAAGCTTGTTTGTTTGCTTTTACTGGATTTAAAGGGTCCATCTCATGCAAAATAACTCTTTTCACATTGTATCTTCTGCACATTTACAAGCACAATTTGGGTTTCCATTACACAATAGTTATGAAATCTTCCAGATTTCTTGGAGACAGTCACAGACCAGGAACTATGAAAGGCCGACTATTGCTCATCCCCCCGCCCGTCCTGAGAAAGCACAGGCTCCGCCCTCCAAACATGACTTAGACTCTGAGTGAGCCGCCCTTCCTCCACCATCTCAGGGAGGAAGGGGGAGACAGACGTGCACCCTGATAGTGACAGGAATAAACTTTTATTCATCATGGAGATACAATGTGTTCAGCCACATGTGTTGGACCCGGAATTGGACGAGGACTTTGAGGTGCACGAAGCTCAAGCACCACGTCAACATCAGCTGAACATTACTGATTGGTGAAGTATTCATAAACACTAGTAGATAAACTTATTATATCTTCATCGTTGTAGCAGCTTTAGTTCGTTGTCACGTGGGAGGGTGGCAGAAATACACAGATTTGAGCTGCAGTGGGTTGAATTCATCACTTCTATGATTCATTATAGAGACAAAATAGTTTCCTTCTACTCTTTATTTACTGCGTGTTGTGTTTTAGAACCACATTATACATTTAAAACACTCTTTTGGGGGTAGTTGTACTTTAGGGTTATTGTGCCAGTGGCATAAACGGGCCCTAAACTGCAGAGGGCCCTCCTGTTACACAGCAGAGCTGTTACTGTAACACAAACTCTTATTCTGGCACCACATGACAAAAATTCCTCTAATTAAAGCTTGCCTCGGCTCACTGAGCCCCTCAGTCCAATCCAGCGTTAGAAATCTGGGAGTGCTGTTGGACAAATCAGTGTCTTTGGAGGGTCACTGCAGCCATCACTAAACTGAGACCGGTTTTATCAAATGCTGACCTTGAGATGATTGTTCACTCTTTTATTTCATTTAGTTTAGATTTTTGTAATTCTCTTTTTACTTGTTTTAACACATCCACACTTATGCGGCTGCAACTTGTACAAAATGCGGCTGGAAGGTTTTTAACAGGAGCTATTTGGCGAACACACATCACACCAGTTTTATCTTAACTTACAGAGCTCTAAACGGACAGATGCCCCAGTACATCAGTGACTTACTGTGCCCCTACACCTCAGGCAACACCCTCTGGTCCTCAGGTCAGGGACTCTTCATCGTCCCAAAACCCACTTTAAAACAACAGGTTGGAACAGTCCTTTCAGGCTGTAGCCCCCAAATTATGGAATGTCCTGGCCCCAGCCCTCCGCATCTCTACTGACTCTTTAAAAAAACAGCTCAAGACACTGCTGTTTCGATCAGCTTTTGCTTGAGTGTAATTCCTCTGTTTTTACGTGTTGTTTATTGCACTCTGCAAAACACTTTGAGATTTTTATCTGTGAAAGGTGCTATATAAATAGTGTAACTTACTTTCCTGGAGAGTTTTAAATCAATGTTGAAAACACACTTTTTTACACCGGCTTTTAACTTTTAACTTGTAAGTTGATATTCTATAGTTTTATTTGTGTTCTTAACCTTGTTTTATTGTGTTTACTTGAGTTTTATTCATATGTTTACCTGTGTATAATTCTCATATTGTGTTTGTATTAGGGCTGGGCGATATGGATCAAAAAATATATCTCGATATATGATATATATCTCGATATATGTTCAAGAAAAAATAATCCCCTAAAACTGAAAACTGCAAAAACAAATCTGCCAAATTCCACAAGGTCCTTTTTTTTAATTGAAGTGTAAGAGGTTGGCAGTTCATACAGGAACATTTAAGATTACAAAAAACCCTAATTACATAAATAATAATTTAACTGTAAAATAAAAGAAATAATACATATTTCCTTCTTTTCATTCATAAAGAAACCAACTCAACACAAGCTCATCTTTGTATTAACTCTGTTATCCAAACCAGAATCATAACCATGAGCTCATTTAGCAGAAGAAGCTCAGGATGTTTCTTATTTCAATAGATCCATGTTATTATCCAGCAGTAAGGAGCTCTGAGATTTCCCACAATCCACTGCAGACCAAACCCAACCTTTCCAAACACTATTGTACAAGTGACACTGCCGCAGATTATTAATTAAAAAATATTCTGCATAATTAAACTTTACATTGCTAAACTTTACAATATATAAAGCATAACGACTCGAGCCACATCAGCTCGTTTGTGATAATAATGTGTTTAATGCAGTTCTGCGCACGTGTGTTTACATTTTACAGAAACGAAACTTAAGCGCATGGCTCATTTGCATAAACAGCAAACTTCTCATGCAGCTCAGCTCGTTTAGTTTCTTTCGGGCTAAAGGACGCGACTCGGTGGAATATGAGGATGTGCTGTTGATGGTTTTGTCTGTAAATGGTGGAAAAGATTCGTGGTGCTTGAAGCTTTTCACTGACACCAACTTTCGGCGTTCATGGCGATAGTGAGGAGTGAAGGAGACACGAGCGAACAAAATCAGGGAGGCGGAGGCGACGAGAGAGAAGACAAACAAGCGAAGCGGCAAAATCAAAATTGAATATAAGCATTATATCGATATATACGATATGTCAGAATTCATATCGAGTTTAAAAACTATCTCGATATATTTAAAATATTGATAAATCGCCCACCCCTAGTTTGTATCTATTTTGTTAAGCACTTATGGGGAGTACTGTCTGTTTTTGAACCTGTTATATAAATAAACCTTAACCTTGACCTTGATAAATTAGTTTCAATACATCACCTATATTTTCTTCAGCAAGTTCAAAATGTGTTCTCGCCCACACGCACATCAGTCAGGTTAGTGAAAGTCCTGATACATGTAGACTGTGTCCTGTATTGTCCATGTGAGTGCGCTGGATGTTCGTACCCACGAGGTCCCACTCCCCGTTGGACGTGTACCCGGACAGGTCGGCGTCTAACATCTTGAGGTCCAGGGCCCAGCCGTCGTAGGTCCAGGAGCCGAACTTGAGCTCGCACCTCTGCTCGTCGAAGGGGAACCAGCGCACGTCGATCTTACACGTGCTCTTGAAGATCCCTGAGGACGCACAGCAGAAAAACAGTGATATATGATGCTGTACATACCCAATGCTTTGCTCTGTTAATGTGTCATATAGCATATAGTGTTTATGTGTGTGTGAGTGGACAACAGGGGTCTCCAACCTTTTTCCTCCGGTGAGCTACCTTTACAAAACAAAAACGCCAGAGAGCTACTAGTTTTAGTGGTCACAATAAATTTAGTATATAACAGAGCCTCAGCAAGCCTGAGATGAGGTACAGTTAGATTAGGGTGACAAGTAGAGATGCACGGATGGGCTATTTTTTCATCCATTTGCTGTCCATTTGCACCCAAGGTTTTGACCAATTTTCAAAACCGCACTCGCCCACCATCTGCCGATTGATTTTAGATTTTAGAACAATCATATAGCAAAAAAACTAAGGAACCTTGATAAAAATGCAACCCCGAGTGGCAGCCTACACTACAATGTCTGCGTGTTTTAAAATATAACTGATATAGAAACAAAATAGACAGATAGTCTCATCCAGATGAACAGATGAACCTTTATTGAAATCAGGCAATGCCCACTTTATGTTCCAAATGAAATAGGGAAGAAAAAAATATTACTCTCACGTACCCCCACTTCAAAAAGCTGCACTACACGACTGGATGTGAGGAGTGATACGAGCGAGCAGTAAACAGGCTGTGTGCTTCGGCCCATAATTCTGGTGAAGCCTGGAGTATTCAGACAGACGGGCTCCTGACAAACTGTAAAAGTCTCTCCTCTTAAACGCCTGGACAGGACTGACACGCAGATGTGAGGGTGGAGACAACTGCACATTTGTACTCAAGTAAAAGTACAGATATGTGGCTGCTAGATTTAGACTGAATTACAAGTACAACGGCCAAATTTTATACTTAAAGCCACACTATGTAACCTTGAGCAATTTATGGTTTTAACTCTTTATTTCCATGGATGTACTAAACCTTTAAATGACCATATTACCCTATTTTCTGATCTGTTATGATGTAGTTTCTTCATCATAAACAGAACTGTGTTTTGTTTCATTCACATGTGTTTAACACACAAACCCTTCTTCTTTTCAGAAAATATACAAACAAACATTTGCGGCCATACCGGCTTGTAAAAGTCTGATCCCGTCAGATCTCAGAAGCTCAGAGGCTGGGTCTGGTTAGTACTTGGAAGGGAGACACTGGGAAAAGCAGGTGCCACAGTGGGCACCAGTGGCAAAAACGGTTGTGTCCTTAGGCAAGACACTTCACTCACATTGCCTAGTATGAAAGTGGTGTGTGTGTGTGTGTGTGTGTGTGTGAGTGATGGTGGTGGTGGGAGGGGCCGATGGCGCAGATTGGCAGCCTCGCTACTGTAAGTCTGCCCCAGGGCAGCTGTGGCTACAGTAGTAGCTCACCATCGCTGAGTGTTGAGTGAATGAATAATGATCTGTAAAGTGCTTTGGGTATCTTGAAAAGTGCTATATAAATACAATGATGATGATTATTATTATTATTATTAAAACACTGTTCCACCTTGTGATGTCATGTGTTAATACAGGAGGTGCTTCACTGTGTTTTTAAACTCCATACACCTTCATTACAATTATTAGGAAAATTCCAACCCTGGAATTGAAAAAGTACTGTATTTTTCAAACTATAAGTCACACTTTTTCATGGTTTGGGTGTTTCCTGTGACCTATACTCTGGTGTGACTTATATATTAACATTTTCACACTGAAAACTCCAGAGGCTCTAGTCTTGTGTGTGAGTATGTGCTGCTCCTGTTCCTCCTGTACCACTGTCACTTCACTCTACTGCACATGTCTCCTCCAGAAAGAGCCTCTGTCCTGTCTGTGTCATGTCAGTCGATCGCACCATTACTTCTGTACCACTGAAAATATAAAATTTAAACAAATTTATAAAGATGACTGAGAAAACTGAACATAAATGCCCCCAAAAAGAAAATCATATTTTGCAGATTACAATCTGCAATACAGACTGCAATTCGTGAAATCTGCAGCTGAAAATGGTAATCGAAGTTGCCGAGTTGTTCAGAAGTGACAGCGAGGATGAAGAATTGAATGGATTTAGTGATCTGGAGTGAGATGGAGAGTTTGGTAAACTTGTTCTGTTCTGTTGTTTATGTTATAGTTTATCTGAAGAACTGTTCATATGTGACGTTAACAGTCTGTTGTTCTCTCTTCTAGTGTTATTACTAGAACTTCACTTTCAACAGGAAATGTCAGTTCCTGGTCTCTGATTTTATAAAATTAATTTCCCCCAAAAAGTGCAACTTATAGTCCAAAAAATAAAGTAGCTGTTAACATGAAAATTATCACTTCATGACATCACAAGGTGGAACAGAGCATTTTGAGCTTTGGAGATGAGAGACAGAGTAATAAAGCAGGATTACTCAGACTTATGTGAAGGTAACAATATTCTAACATGACTCACAAGAGTTTATTTTGTGTAATATAGGACCTAGAGTAAAAAGTGCAAAGCAAGTACTAGTTTTTAGATAAAACTTTTAGATAAAACTTGACCAGTTAAAGTGGGTATAACAGGCACCCCACGCTCCTCTTGTGTCTCTGTGTGTTTCCCATCTGTTTCATCTTCCTCGTAAATGACCTGCAGTATTTAAACCTGGACCTCCACCAGCACCAGTTTGTCTGATCCGTGTCTGCGATAGAAAAACTGAAATTTTTTAGGTTTTCAGAAACTCACAGTACTTTTTTTTGGTAATTTTGAACTTTTTTTTCACAGGTGGAGATCTATGTCTATGTCAACTTTGACTTGGAAGAAACTAACCTCTGCATTTGGAATTCTTGGATCTGCATTTGAATTCTGTTTTAAAATGTAACAACGCAGTATTCTCTATGAATTTAAATGTGCTTGCTGCATGCTTTAAAGGTCCTACATCACACAAAAAAATGACTCATTGTCATTTTAAGCCAATGTTGTTACCTCATAAAAAACATACCTGGAGTTGTCTTTTTTTAAACATGTGTGATTGAAAAATGAAACAAAACACAACTCCAGGTCTGTTTGTGATGAGGAAACAACATTAGAACAGAAAATAGCACAATATTGGCCCTTTAAATGTACTCAATTACTACTCAAAAACATCCACCAAAAGTACTCGGGGACAGTGTTTGTAAGGACGCAGATGTGTCACGTTTGCATTCGTGCCCGTGGAGCCGTTTCTCTCTATGAGGATTCATCTGGAACAAAGTTGAGAGGCAATTTGCTCCTGACAGAGTCGATCAATCCAGCGAGGATTTAGTGAGCGGGCGGTTTACGCACGTATTGATTAAGATGCCCCCGGGAGAGCAGGCCACGCTTCTGCTCACTCAGGGAAACGAGGGATGGAGAGGAGGAGAGGAGAAGGAGGAAGAAGAACAGAGAAGGACTGGAGAAAGAGGAGAGAGAGAGGAGTAGAGAAGGTTGAAGTGAAAGAGAGCAGGAGAAGAGGAATAGGAGTGAGGAAGAGAGGAACGAATATGAGAGAAGAATGAAGGGTAAAGATGAAAGGAATAGTGGAGGGAGAGAGGTAGTAAGAGAGGTCTCGAGGAGATGAATGAGGAAAAGGATGAGATGAACAGAGGAGAGAAAGGAGAGCTAAATAAAAGAGGGATGAGCTGGAGGAGAGGACAGGGAGTCATGAGGTGAAGTCAGTGCTCACTCAGGGAAACGAGGGATGGGGAGGAGAGAGGAGAGGAGCAGAGAAGGACTGGGAGGAGGAGAATGCAAGGAGCAGAGAAAGATGAAGAGAAAGAGAGCAGGGGAAAGGAATAGGGGGAGAGAGAGAGGACGAGAAGAGGGAGAGGAAAGGGGGATGAGCAGGAGTAGAGGGATGCATGGGGAGAGAAGATGCAGTGAGGAAAGGAGGAGAGGAAGGAGGTGAAAGAATGGGAGAGAGGAGAGGAGATGAATGACAAAAAGGATGAGAGGAACAGAAGAGAGAAAGAAGGAGGAGAGAAAGGGTCACAGTGAGGAGAAGCGGGGACAAAGAAAAAGAGAGGAGGAGAGGAAAGAGGAATGAGCAGGAGGAAAAGCAGACCAAGGCTTCAGCTCGCTCAGGGAAACGAGGGATGGAGAGGAGGAGAGGAGAGAAGGAGGAGAAGAGGGGGCAGAGCGTAGAAGGAGATAGAAGAACAGAGAAGGACTGGAGAAAGAGAAGAGGGAGAGGAGGAGAGGAGGAGCAGAGAAGGATGAAGAGAAAGAGAGCAGGAGAAGAGGAGTGGGAGTGAGGAGGACAGGAAAGATGCTAAAGATGAAAGGAATAGTGGAGAGGGAGAGGAAAGGGGGATGAGCAGGAGCAGAGGGATGAATGGGGAGAGAAGTCGCAGTGAGGAAAAGAGGAGAGGAACGAGGTGAAAAACGGGAGAGAGGAGGAGAGGTCTGGAGGAGATGAATGAGGAAAAGGATGAGATGGCGATGAAAGGAAGGGCGATGAGGAGGTGGAAAGACAGAGAGAGCGATGGAGGAGAGGAGGATGAGGATGCTGCTCGCTCAGGGAAACGAGGGATGGAGAGGAGAAGAGAAGGACTGGGAGGAGGAGGAGAAGAGGAGGAGAATGCAAAGAGCACAGAAAGATGAAGAGAAAGAGAGCAGGGGAAAGGAATAGGGGGAGAGAGAGAGGACGAGAAGAGGGAGAGGAAAGGGGGATGAGCAGGAGGAGAGGGGAGGGAGTGGTGGAGAAAGGGTTGCAGTGAGGTGAAGAGGAGAAGAAGAAAAAAAAAGAGAGACCAGCGGAGGACCATGGCTTTTGCTTGCTCAGGGAAACGAGGGATGGAGAGGAGGAGAAGATGGCAAAAGAGGAGCAGAGAAGGACTGGAAAAAGAGAATGGGGTGAGAGAGGAGAAGAGGAGAAGAATACAAAGATGAGCAAGAGCAAGAGAAAAGAATAAGGGAGAGAGAGGATGAGAAGAGGGAGAGGAAAGGGGGATGAGCAGGAGTAGAGGGACGCATGGAGAGAGAAGTGGCAGTGAGGAAAGGAGGAGAGGAAGGAGGTGAAAGAAAGG